GATGCCTTCCAAGGCCATACAATCTAAGCAACTTGAGCATATGAAATCAGAGTAAGAAAGTGACATTTGCATATTTTCCACTAGTGGCTGCAAGACAACACATATGCTTCAACTGTAACTTCTTTTTCTCAAAAAAATAAATAAATGAAAGAGATATTTCAGTTGAAAACTGCATTTACATTTTAACACATAGAGCCGCCAAGTGTGGATGGCTGTGTGTTAGAAGTGTTGTTGAGTCCAGAGGAATCAAAATATAAAAATTCATAGAAAGCATGCCATTCAAATCCTTAACATAAACACAAGGTTTACCTTTCCTCCAACACTTTTTTTTTTATGGTACGCTAAATTAAACGTGCATCTTGTTTTAGAAACTCACACATACAAAACCACAACAATAACACCACAAAAAGCTCTGTTCTTAAGCATATACATTATGGTACAGGAATTCCTACAAACATGTCATCTTCCAAACTTCAGGAACCTGAATACATGTACTATGTTTAACTAAAATGTGTCTAGGACAAATTTAGACAATCTACTTTTTATACATAGGCTCATTCTAAGTAGCTATCCATTAAATCATGGGGTTAATGAACTCCAACATACTGAAAGAAACAAGAGTCCCTTCATACATATCACTTGTACACCATGCATGGTACGCTGCTCACCTGTTGAAAAAAACTGATGTGGGACCAGCAGGTGGTGTGGTGGTTAAGGCTCTGGATTCTACATGGTCAGCTATGCAGTTCAAGTCCTGAACCTGGTGACTTGGAAAATACTCTGGCCAAGTGTTGCATGCATGCCTAAAACCCCAAGAGGAAAATGGAGGAGAAGGGACTGCAAACTGCAGTGGGGCCATCTCCCCTGGTGGGTCATTTCTCACTTTACCTCCCTCTGTGTCGCTCTCTCTCAGTTCTACAAGCACCCTATGGTAAAAGCCTTAAAAAAAAAAAAAAGAAGAGGAGGAAAAAAAAACAGTGATATAAAAAAGTAAATCTAGGGGACAGCAAATAGTGTAGTGGTTATGTCACTGGGGTCCCACATGGACAAAACACAGTCTGAGCCCCAGATCTGGTGGCTTGAAACTCACACTGGGTGCATGTGCATGTGCCCCAAGATCCCTGGAGGACAAGGGAGGAGAAGGGAGTACAGGTGGCCATCTATCCTGAGGGTGATTTCTCACTTTCTCTCTTGCTGCTGTCTCTCTGTTGAGCACGCGTGCCCTAAGGCGAAAACCTCTTTAAAGGAAAAAAAAAAAAAAAGTATTATCTATGTAGTAATCAAATGTTATTTCCACTAAATTAATTTAAAAGATAGTTAAAGGTATGCAAGAGCAAACCTAAAACTCCTGCATACACAGACTGAACGAAACAACTTAGAGTGGTAGCTCCACTCCATGCGTCCTCGGACACGTTTTCATTATGCCCAGGTCTTGTCTAGTCCCCACGAGAGAAAGCAACTGCAGGACATGGGTAACACGAGTCCACATCCAAACGTCACCCTCCGGGGCAGGTCACACCCCATCCTGCACCTGGGAAGTCTCTACGCCTCTCTTTAGTGAATTTTTCTTGTGGTTTTAGGTTCACTGCCTCTCAAACTGATATTCTTTTCTTCTCTTTTTAGATCTCTTAGAGGGATACTGGAAGCAGAAGTATTAGGTAGTTAGGAAATTTTTGCATAGTAAAATACGTCATAACTTCCCCAACAACCTAATATATATAAATATCTAGGAAGCAAACACAAAATGCTACAGATTGCTACCAATGAAAACAATGGGAGTAAAAAAGATTTTTAGAAGAATAAACATTCTTGGGATCAGCAGTTAGCGTAATGGCTATGTTGCTGGACTCCCATGTAGTCAACAGCAGTTCGAGTCCCGGACCCAGTGGCTTAAACTCACGCTGGGCGCATGTGCGTGTGTGCCCATGATCCTTAGAGGAGAATGGAAAAGAAGGGATTGCAGCATAGCCATCCCCCTTATATATATATATCCATCAATATATGAGGATCATCTCAAAGTCTATAAATTGAAAAACCCACACAAGATCAAATGTTTCAATTGAAAAACTTTGGTGTTTCTAAACACATGTGTCTGAGAGAGATCTTTACGTTTACACATTTCTTGGAACGAGGCCAGCCAGTGGCATGGTGGTTGGGACAGCACGATCCCAAATGGCTGACAGCGTTGTCCATGACCCAGTTCAGGAACACACCAGGCACGTGTGCATGCATGCCCAAAATCCAAAAAGGAGAAACAGAGAAAGGGATTGAGGCATGGCTATCCTCCATGGGGGAGGGGAGGGAGGGTACTTTCTTGCCGTCCTTCTTTCTTTGACTTTCTCTGACGAGTACATGCACCCTCTGGCAAGTTAAGGAAGAAAAATATTTCTTGAAATGGACCTTCTTACTCTTAACACTACTCAGTTATAAGATTTTACAACTGTAGACCCTAAATATTATCTCTCCACAAGTACTTCCCTGGGTAAACCTTCCATCCCTGGCTAAGAGAAGGCCTCCGTGGAGTGTGCCGGAACTGCAGGACCCCGAGTCCTGGATTCCCAGTATGGTCACCCTATGCCCTGTGTTCCTCCCCTTCCATGGAGCAGCGTCCACACAGCAGGTCATCCAGATCCCTGACATGGGACCCTCTTCCTCAGCACTTTGTATAAACTTCAGACAAGACTGGCAATGGCAGTACCCACGTTAACGCTCCATCTACGATGCCATGCTTTGTCTCAGTGAGAAGCCCTTCATTATTTCTATTTATTCCAGAATTCAGACGAGACACATGGAGAGGAAAACCCAGCGCATTTTCCTTTGCTTTTACTCTTC